GGCTAGAGGGTTTGGAGCAGGTACCTCCTTTAGACTCAAAATTGGGGATGCCGTGCATAATCACGTGGTGCAGAAACAAGGGCTTGTTGTTCATTTTGATGGAGCCGGAGAGCAGGCCGCTGAAGTAATGCACGTACCTGCAGCAGGAAGAGGGGCAGCCTGAGGGAAGGAGGCCTGGACCACAGCAGGGTCATCCCTGATCTCTTTTCTCCAAGAACATTGCCCTAGGCTGCCTGCCTACCCCCTACAACACCCACCTCAGCTCCTGGAAGCTGAGGTCCCTGCCCCACGACAGGCCTCCCTTGCTGCTTGGAGTTCAGGGAGGAAGAGCAAGCAGGTTTCCTAGACCTGGAGCGGCAGCAAGTACACATCCCACTTGGAGGTCTCGTGCGCCTCCTAGTGGTCAATACAAGCATCTTTTTCCTGCTTTACTCCCAACCAAAGATTCTCCTGCTGGACCAAAATTCCTCCCAAGAATCCTTGACAGGCACCATTAGCTTCTCAATACTGAGTGGCATGCTGCCCAACCATCAAACAATTAGGACACCTTATACAAAACCTATGCTTATATTTGGTTCTGTCCCCACAGATCCATCGGCTACATGATAATGCAGCAAAGAGTAAGAGCCGATAACTATAGTTCTGCTTTTTAAAAAAGTACTTACTTGAATTTATTTGTTATTATTATTACTGCTTAATTAGAACATTGCCCTAGGCTGCCTGCCTACCCCCTACAACACCCACCTCAGCTCCTGGAAGCTGAGGTCCCTGCCCCACGACAGGCCTCCCTTGCTGCTTGGAGTTCAGGGAGGAAGAGCAAGCAGGTTTCCTAGACCTGGAGCGGCAGCAAGTACACATCCCACTTGGAGGTCTCGTGCGCCTCCTAGTGGTCAATACAAGCATCTTTTTCCTGCTTTACTCCCAACCAAAGATTCTCCTGCTGGACCAAAATTCCTCCCAAGAATCCTTGACAGGCACCATTAGCTTCTCAATACTGAGTGGCATGCTGCCCAACCATCAAACAATTAGGACACCTTATACAAAACCTATGCTTATATTTGGTTCTGTCCCCACAGATCCATCGGCTACATGATAATGCAGCAAAGAGTAAGAGCCGATAACTATAGTTCTGCTTTTTAAAAAAGTACTTACTTGAATTTATTTGTTATTATTATTACTGCTTAATTTTTGACCAGAGAGAGAGAAAGGGAAAGTGAGAAAGCAAGCCACCAGGTCCAGGACTTGAACTACGGCTGGCCATGTGGGAGTCCAGCACCCTAACCACCATGCCACCTGCTGGTCCCAGTTCTTAACTTTTTTTGTATCACACGAAGTATATGAAGGCCCTTGCTATCAATAATTTCATTAGGTATTTGAGATAATGAACTTTCAATAAGTAATCCTATCCCCAGGATCAACATCCTCCAACTCTTTTTTAACAAAGTTCTTGTTGGAGGTACAGAAAGATGAACCCACTTCTCCTTCAACACAGAGACAGACAATTAGGGGCAGAAAGAGGTTTTGGCCTCCTAGAGACACACAAAGCTGGAAGTGGGTGAGAGATGAGGAAAGAAGTCCAGGGTTCAATGCATCTGCCTAAAACTAGAAGCCAATATTTCTGCTGTTGATTCTGTGGGCACTTCCTCCTTTTCTGAATGGCCAGAAAGCACCAAGCTGAGTCAGCTAGACCAATCAGCAAGCATTCTGAGACTCCACCAGAGCCAACGGGGCCGCTCTAAGGAGGGTGGGACCGGAACTGCATGACCATGACAAGGCTTCCCTTCTGTCTCTTGGCTCCTTGGCCCACCTCCAGGCCTGTGGGCCTCTGTCTCTGGGCTTGGGTGGGGCCACCTCAGACTACCCAAGCAAGATAATCTGATGGGCAGCGTCAGCTCTTATTCAAGCCCCTGCCCAGCCCCCGACCCCATTACTCAAACCGGAAACCTGGAATGGCAGTTCCTATCAGATCTCCTGATCATGCCAACAGGATGTGTCTGTGTGCTGTGGACAATGAGTCCGGGGGTGGGGTGACAATGAATGGGAGAGCTACAGGCAAAGCCCCTCCCTCCCTCTCTCCTCCCGGCCTCTCCTCCAACTGCTCCATTCCCTGCAAGTGACACTGACAAGAAGGCGGGAAAGTAGCATCAAATGCACAAGAACGACAAGGATTGCGCTCACATCTGGGCACGGACAGAAGGACCCATCCTGTGCAGACCCCCTGGCAGACATGAATTTCCAGGTGGGCACAGATAAAGTGTGTGCACAGGGGCACACTCCGTCTGCTCACTGTGTAAATTCACACTGAACACCATGGAATCCCTGAATAATCGTGTCCCTGAGCGCGAACACCGATCCCCACAGCTCCGCCACTCTCTAAGGCACCTTGAGCCATTGTACCAGCATGCTTCTCTACTAGTGTCCCTTCAAGACCATGGGTCACACCAAGACTAAGACCAGCATCCATACAGAGTGAGCCAAGGACTGAGCAGCCAACACTGACCATAGTTCTTTCTTCCCTGGAAGACTCACCGGTCCACAGCTGCTGTGTCTGGGGGCCTGGGCAGAATTTTCTGCATTTAAAGATACCTGGTTTCTGATTGCAGGCCCAGAGGCTGGTTGTTGGCTCTTCTGTGTAATTAGAAGGTGCTGGTTTGCCTGGGGACACATTCACTTCTGCTTGGGCTTCCCATGACAGTGGTGGATGACACCCTTCCAGCCGCCCAAATGAGGGGGAATAGAATGTGTTTTAGGGACCCTCAGAATGGTGAGGCTAGAAAGCTCCAAGACCTGCTGCTATGGAGTCCTGTTGGCCAGCCAGTGTTTCCAGGAATGGGAACAGCAGAAGGATGCCTTGGCCTCCAGGCCTTGGTACTTGCTATTCCCTCTGCCTGCATTCTGTACCCCAGACCATCACAGGCTACTTCCTTCTCCCCAGTCAGGTCTGGCTTCACATGCCACCCTCTCAAGAAGTCCATTGATCTACATCAGCCCCCCCACACCCACTCCTACCACTCTCTAGACATCACGGTTTCTTTTATTCTTCAAGCACTGATCCCTATCTGAACAATCTTGACTAATCGTGTACTTGGGTATCACCCGCTAGAGTTAAGCTCCACGGCCCTGGGCCAACGGACTCAGCACCTGGGTCTTCAGTGCACACAATGATGTTGCCACATCAGGGCAGGTTGCCAGCCTACAGCCCCAGGCCACAGAAGGAGTTGAGCCTGCATCCTGTTCTCCAGGTCTCCTGATTAGGCTTGGATCTTTCACCCACTGGCTGCAGCCTTCCCAAAGACCACCAAGCTCTATGCCTTCTGTGAACCAGACATCATTGAATAAGCATCATCCACAGAGCAGAATTCCCCAGGACAGTGGGTAGTGCACCACGGGTACTCTACCCTGGTCTAAGTATTGCTGGGCTTTCGCGTACATTCCATCTCCACCACCATCTCTATGAACTCTGACCATGTCCCTTCCTTAGCCTCAGGCTTCTCATCTGCACAAGGGGGAAGCTCTAGATAGTCATCATTATTCCAAGTTGGACCCAAGAAGCCTTCCTGATCCCCTCCACTAAAATAATCCCATTCTCCTCTAATCAGCCTCCATCTCTGCAGTACTCTATTCTCTTTGTTTTCTACAACTAGCTATTATCTGAAACTACCTTGTTTGTGTGGTTACTTATGTAATGTCCATCTCTGTCTAAGGGAAAGGACTTTGTCCTGTGCACCTAGATATCTCAGTTCCTGGAACTAGAGTCAAGGACCTAAATGACTATATAAATGAATGGAACCACCCCTGCCCTGTCTCCTGCCTGGACTCTTGTGAGACTCCAAGAAGACCACCTGGTTGAGAGCCCTCAGCAAAATTTTTGAACTCTCCCAACAGCAGGTGACCCTTGTCATGGGTCTCTGTGACCTCCCCCGGGGCAGGCAGCAGTGATCAGGCTCCTATAGGCTGAGTCAAACATTGAAGCACTCTCACAACCAGGTTAAAACAACACCTTAACCAAGACCTTTTTCCTCCTAGATGGATACTTCTGCCAGGATGTTCCACTGCTGTCTAACACAGGCCTTAAGAGCCAACTACCCGACCAATCTGTGGGCACATGCAGAGCTCACACCACTCCAGACCTGTGCTTGGTATACCCTCACCTAGATGCAGGTGGCTGCACCTGTGGGTGTATAAGTTAGTCCCCGTGACACTGCATGAACACCTGCATGCACTGGGCTCTGAGCCCCAGAGACCCACCTTCTCTGAGATGGCTGGCCAATGGGCACAATCTTATCCTCGTAGAATCTCTTCATTGCAAACCGGTCCAGGGCCTGGTCTGCACTGTGGGAATAGACAGGTGGTCAGAGGAGCCAACTTCATGCCCAAGAGACCCGTGTCTCTCCACCCCAGTTCTCCAAGAACTACAGGGTCCTATAGACAGCCACAGTGCTTGGTGGGAGGACAAGTCTCCCCTTCCAGCCATCCTGAAAAGCTTTCAAGAAAAGAGTACTCTGGCATCTCTCCATCCAAATCCCTCCAGTGCTGGGAGCCTGGGAGCCCAGGAGCCCAGCTCAGATGAACCACTTACCAGCCCTGAGTCCTGAGACATGTTAGTCAGTCTTTCAGAACCTCGTTTCCCCATCTGTCAAGTAAGGGTGATAACTGCACCTTTCTCAAAAGTTACTATGGAGCTTAGCATCCATAAAGAGCTTGGCACATGTGGGCACACAGGAGGTAGGCAGGAGGTGTTCACCATTAAGCAAAGATGGAGCTGGGGTGAGTTTCTCCTAATCCTACTGGACTCATCCTCGAGAGTGCTCGCAGAGACCATTTTGAAATACAAGATCACATAGCTCCTCTTGGCTCTCCAGTGACTCCATCACTCTTAGAATAAACTCCAAAGCCCTTATCAAGGCCTAGAAGGCCCGCAGCTCTGGCCCCTTCCAGCTGTTTTTCCTCTTCCCCTTCCCTCACTCACTTGGCTCCAAACATGCCAGTCCCTCCCATCCCACCTCATCTTGTCCTTCCTCTTCTCAGTCTAGGAAGCCTATTCCCAAACTCTACAGGGTTCAGACCTCCCTACCCCCCCTCATTCAGGTCCCTGCTCCATGATCACCTCATCCTTCCCTCACCCAGTGTTGTTCTCTAGTCTCTTCGACCTTTCACCTGCTATGGTTTAATGTCCATGAGGGCAGTGACTTGGCCTTGCCCACTGCTGTCTTCCCAGGACCTAGAACAGTGCCTGGAACATTGCTGAAGGAATGAACAAATGAACGAATGAATCTCTCTGCCTCCCTGCAAAATCATTCACTTGGTTGTTTCCTATTCTTGCTCCAAAACACCTAGACGAGGTGGCCAGAAGTAGGGATGGATGAGATAGAAGGTTCCACCAAACTCAGTTCTTTCAGACTCCTTCCCTGCTCGCCCAGGGAAACAAAAGGCCGTCTGATAAGGAGAAGTGGACCACAGAAGCAGGTTGGGTGGGGTGCCCATAACTGGGCCTGCCTACCAAGGCTCCCCAGCCAGGGCCCCAGAGAGACAGACTCTCCTCTCTCCTGCCCTCTGTCCACAGGCACCTGCTTCCTCTTCTTCTGGGAGCTCCTGCACCCATCCTTGCGACCTCTCATCCCCTCTGTCCTTTTCCTCCCACTCAAGGAAGGGAGAGGCCATGGGTAAATGGAGATTAGGGCCATACTGTCAATGAGCAGAGGCTGGAAGACTCAGGCCCCCTTACCTGGCGGAAATGTTGCTGTAGTGCATGTAAGCCGCGATGACCACTCCTATCCTGCCTCTGTTTCCCTGAAAGAGCCCAAAACACATAAGCCTTTATGTTATTTCTAAAGCTGGCTCTGCTGCCCCAGAGCCTAGGAGGAAAGGGGGCAGGGGCTGGGAAGAGGCTCTAAGTGAGAACAGAAGAACAAGGGAGACTCAAGTGAGGGGAAGGCTGAGCCTCAAACAGAAGAACACAGCAGATCATGCATTGCTGAGAGTCACAATCTGGAACACCCCCACTCCTTGGGGGTATCCTCTGGGACAGAATCTATAATCCCCTAAAAAGAAGACTACACAGAGATAGGCTTGCATGCTCACACAACGCAAAGACACAGGCAGGTATACACACTGAAGGACACACTCAGGTGCATGTAAGCACATGTCTGCACACACACACACACACACACACACACACACACACACACACACTGACCTTGTTGTGCAGAACAACAACATTGTGGGGGTCTGCGTTGAGCCATGTGTCCATGGCCTTGCAGACACTGCAGATCTTCTCCAGGGCGGGGGTGTGTAGGTCTGGCCAGCCAAACTCCAGTACCTGCAGCCCAAGCCAAGAGTCAGACAAGGATGGGAGCCCAGGAGAGTCAGCCAGGCCCTTGGAACAGCACATACCATGTGCCAGCATCTAGGCACTGGCCACCAGCAGGCACTTGGCTCCTGCCCCACCATTAGCCCAGCTGGAGGACAGAGATCAGGGGGCAAAGGACACTGGCCAGGACTAGAAACCTGGATCTTGGCTCTGGCACTGACTGTAGGGACTCAGGCAGGTCACATCCCCTCTCCCAGCCTGAGTTTCCTCATCTGCATGTAAAACAAAGGCTTGAAGTCAACCATCTCAAGGTTTCTTCTATACAATTCTGAACTCAAAATGTGCTGTGGGCCCTAAGCACAGACTCCAGCTCTCTTCCCACAGACAGTTCTGAGGAAAAAGCAAAGGGCTCCCAGATGCCCAACCTCCTTTTGGGGCCCTGGACATACAAACCATGCATTTTCAAGACAGCTGAGAAAAGTCTGAAGAGCCCAGAAGGCAGACCTGAATATCAGGCACCTCAAAACCTTTCTAAATTCACAAAACTTTAAATACAATAGAAGTATTGCTTGGAAGAGCCCATAGATCATACTTAATCCAGTCTGTCCACTTTCAGAGGCACAGACTGAGGCCCAGAGAAGGGTCACAGAGCAGCAGGTGCCAGAATTCAGGAGCCAGGAGCAGACATCAATGGCAAAACTTCCCAACATAACCCACTGAGCAAAATAAAAACTGGCAGCAAAATCTAAAGTTTGAAATCCAAAAATTAAAAACCTCACACTCCAGCCTCACCTCAAATATTCTGTGTGCTCCCCGGGGAGTAGAGCTGGGTAGGAAATTGCTGCCTCAAGCTTTGCTTTCTGTAATTTGCATTATGGAAACAGTAAACATTTTCAATTTTCCAAATATAAGATAGCACTTTAAACTGTCACAGTACTTTGCCCCAGATTCTGATGGGGGGACCACAGAGAGGGAGCCTATCTGTCTCCATGTGGAGAGAATTCCTCACCCCAGAACACCATCGGCTCACCTTGGTGTGGAGCTTCGTGATGTCAGGTCTCCGCTCAGAGAGGTTGAACAGCTAGAAGAAAATGGAAGAGACCATGAAGAGGTAAGGGTGAAGAGGGCTGGGACAGGAAAGAGCCCATGGCAAGGAAGCCCATTGGTCACACTGGGGACTATGGTGTCACCTCCAACTGCTCTAAAGAGCCCACCCCCCCGACCCCTGCTGAGTGCTGCATCATCATCCTCACAGCCAGAGGCCAGCCATGTACAAACTGGCCCTCCTGTGCTCACTTCCACTCTCTCTCCCCAATGGAAACCTATCTACACACGGAACACAATGGAGTCCCATCGGACACACGTGAACCAACAGGAACTCAGACGACAGGTTCTCAGGAAAAGGGAGGAAGGAGAGAAATACTCCCTGCGGGATGTCCTGAACTGAAGATGACAAGAATATGGATCCAAATCTAGGGGCACTACATGGCAAGTATCTGGCCATTTGTGGTTTTCACATCACATGTGGACTTCAGAACCTTACCCCATGAAGATGTGACTTCTCTGTCATTGGTCACTCTCCCCCAAAGGGTGAAACCATCCTGGGTGGGCCCTGTCAGACCCTGGCATGTCTCTCCCAGCACATCCCCTTCAATGCCAACCACACTTCATGGAATCCCACCCCTACTGCCCCAATCTTGGAATTCTCATCTACACTTCTGAAGGTGCATGCACAACTCCCCACCTCCATGCTGCTGCCTGGGAAACTCAAAGATCACTGTGTTGTCTCCTCAAGAAATAAGACAGTCCATTCTGGAATAGGCAAAAACAGGGGAAAGGATAGCAAACACAGAGACCCACAGTCCAGGACTCCTCTCCTATAACCGGGGTCTTAGATGGCTTCTAGAGCATTCTTATATCCTAAAGGCAACACGCTTTATTAAATTAACAATGACCATCACCTGCCATACCCATGCTCAGGAGTTTATATCTAACAGCTGGTTTAATTCTCTCAACAACCATGAAAGATAGATAGTATTATTAGGATCGTTTTATAGATCGAGAACTTAAGGCTTATTGAGGATAAGTGGCTAAGATCATATATTTAGTAAGGGCAGAGCCAGAAATTTGAACCCAGGACTTTAAAACGTTTAAGGCCAGGCTCTTATCAATGCTTCAACACAGCTGACAGATGGCTCTCTACAGAGGTTGAATAGTGTCCTCAAAAATTCATGACCATCCACATCTTCAGAACGTGACCTTATTTGGAAATAGAGCCTTTGCCAATGTAAACAGTTAAGAATTTCAATATGAGATCAACCTGGATCTAGGGTGAGCCCTAAATGCAATGACTGATGTCCTTATAAGAGGAAAGGATGCACGGAGACACAAGGGAGAAGGCTATGAGAAGACGGAGGCAGAGACTGGAGTGACACACTGCAAGCCAAGGAATGCCAAGGATTGCCATAAGCCACCAGATGCTAGGAAGAGACAAGGAAGGGTCCTCCCCTATAGAATTCAGAAGGAACACAGCCCTGCCAATATCTTAACATTGGGCTTGCATCCTCCAAAACTGCAAGAGTATACGTTTGTTTTTTAAAGCCACAAAATTGGTGATTGTTTGTTGCAGTAGCTATAGGAAACTAATACAGTCTCCTACATTCCACTTCAAATACCCTGGGATGTTTTCAAGGGCAGTCTCTTGAGGGTGCACAAATCTGGTCCAAGGGTCCAGCCCACATGTCCTCCTCTGGGGCCAAGCATAGGTAATTAGAGGACCTGTCATTAGAGGAGACCACCACTGGCCACCTCGTCTACATTAGGTGAGCTGGCTCCTCTAGGCCAGCAACACAAGATCCTTAGACACATGCAGCTGCAACACTGCCCTAAGACTTCTCAGAGGCAGCTCTGCTCCTCCCTACCCTGTGACCTTGGGCAAATAATCCCACGTCTCTCTGCTCTGGCAAGTGACTTCTTTCCAGACTGCCATGCAGGTTAAATGAGGCAATGCAGTTTAAACAGTGCCTGGCTCATAGTAGGCACTCCATAACAGGAACTTTGTTGTTACTCTCTTTAGTAAGCACTCACACATGTATGGACACACATGTGCACACACAGCATTCCAGCTGCAGACACACTCCTTAGAACAGAGCTGGCAGACAAGTGAAGACTCAGCCATGAGAGGCCCAGGGTGAAGGGCAGGGCAAGCAAGGGAAGAGGATGGGCTGGCACAGGGCAGGTGGACAGAGACACCGGCAGTGAAGAGGCAGCAAGCAGATGGAAGGCTAGAGGGGCACTGGACAAATGGGCAAGAAGCCAGGTCCTCACCAGATAGTTGCCTCCATGTTTGGACTTCAGCATCTGTGCCACTTCGCGAAGGTTGCTCCGGAAGTTCTCCTCGTTGGCCGTGCTGGGGAAGGAGACGGCAATGATCCGCTCCGTGACGTACACCAAGTCCAGCTCACAGCTGTCCTCCATGGTCCGGCTCACACTCATGTTTCTAGGGAGACAGGAGATAGTGGAGATCCAGGTTGGAATCCAGGCTCCAAGAGCAAGCCCCAGATACTGGTACTCCTGACACCATTTGCAACCCTGATTTCTTCTCCTGGGATTTGGACTGCTCCCTGACCTAGCCTCACCAAGGTGAGGCTTCCCTTGGCAAAGCCAGTGCCCCGAGCCTTGGAGCGCCAGAGTGGGCAAGCTGAGAAGATGGCCAGGATCGCAGACATGTCAGAGTTAAAGTGTCCTGGCAGCAATCAGAGGTTCCCATCAGTCCTTTTGGTGCTGCTTTCAGCCTGTGACTCCAGGAACCCAGGAGCCCAGCCCGGCTCACTGCAGCCACCAGGTTAGGCAAGAGACTCCGAGAGGACATGGGACCGCTTGGGAAGAGGAAGGAGAGGCTGACCCTGTGCACTTCAGCTTCCTGCAGCTGAGCCCTCTGTTGCCTCCCTACTCGCAAGCTGTGAAGTGGGCAGGAGGCTTCTCGGGCAATGGGGCAGCCCGGGTCACAACTCACCTGGGTTCCAGGTAAGCCAGACCACAGTGCACACTCCAGTCCTCCCCAGGAGAAGGCTGATTCCTGCTCTTTGCCCCCTGCCTGCCAGAGCTACTTCTGGGCAGTGGTGTCCCTGGTTTCTAAGGGCCCAGGAAGTAAGAGGTGCTGGGTCTTTGCCATCTTTGCCGCTACAGTGGTGAGCAGCCTCTACACTATCTGTGTCCCTCAGAGGGATGGGGAGCCCCCTGGCTGGGCAGCTGGCCCTCCATTAGGTGCAGGGTGAGGGGGCTCACATCTTTACAGTCTTCTGAGTTTTCTTCCAGGGGAAAGGGCCAGGGAGCCCACTGGGGAAACCCACCCAGAGCTTCTGGGAGCACCTCCCTCTTCCCTCCCCACACCTTTTTACCCTATCCCCAACTTCCTGGAGCCTCCTCTCCCTCTAATCACAGTAGGCAACATTCACATTTCATTTTGCCAAACTTTCACCACAGTAGGGCCAAACTGGACTGGAGGGGCAGTGAAAAGAACACCACCAGGGTATTCAGAAGTGGCAGGGACTCTCCGGTATAAGCCCTGGAAAATCGAGGAGCCTGGAAGAATCCAGGTCTCCACCAGGGTTAAGTCGAGCCCAGGAAAGGACAGTCAAGGATGAAGTATGGCCTGTCCAGGCAGAATGCTGGGTGCTGAGTGGCTGAGAGATCAGTGGCCAGAGGTAAGGAGCCTAGGCTGAGTTAGACCTCTGAGCCTGGCCACTGTGTCCCTATGGTAAGCTTCTTGCCTTGGCCACTGGTGCGAAGTTGGTGGGCGCTGACTGCCTCAGGCCATGCCTACCCAAGGACAGCTGTTGGTGGTGATCAAAGAAGCCACATGCACACATACTCCACGAAGATGGAGCTAACTCGGAACATCCCACCCTCACCTCCCTGCAAGCCCTCTGTCCCAGCTCCAAGGAACAGTCTGGACTGTCAGAAAACCATGAAAACTGAGCTCCATGTTTCAGCCCCTCTCTCAGCAAGGGAGGGTCAGTGAGAGAGGATGTGGTGGAGAGTGGCCTGAGTCAGACACCGCCCACCCTGGGCATTGATCTACCCCGACCTCCCTTAGGCTGATTCTCAAGAAGGCTGCAAAGGCAAAACAGCACACCCCCTGGACAACCTCAGAATCGCACCCTGTGCCTCCAGGCTGCAGTGCTCTGGGCTGTAGAAAAGGAGGGAGGCCTTTGAAGAACCACCTGCTGGCAGCCGGGCCACAACCCACCAGGGACTTGAGTTCCAACTGGGACTGGCATTTCTCAGGGCGTGGAAGAGAGGCAGATAGCGAGGAGCCCAAGCCAGAGAACTGGACACAGGCAAAACAGACTCCCTGGGTCAGCAAAGGACAAAGTCCCCTGCATATCCCTCCAGCCAGCCTGGCCAGAGAGGGCACTTCCCTTCTATAAATGACACTGCACCATCAGAGTGGAGTCGCTGTCGGGGAGTAAGACCAGCGTGGGCCTTCGTGCAGCCAGCCCTGAAGGCACAGCCAAGTGTGGCCTCTGGTGGTCTTAGGACCTTGGACAAGTCGCTCATCTTTCTGAACTCGACTTCTTCACCTGCCAGCTGAGAAGGAAATGCTCCCCTTGTAGAGTTGTTGTAAGACTAGAAGAACTATGCAGGTAAACACAGACCCCAGCTCGAGCCCTGGTGTGAGCTAGAATTCAAGCAGGACCCCTGCCGAGTGGCATCTACTCGCCTCCACTCCGTGACCTCATGTTTCCCCACAGTTACTGCCAGTGGCTTTATGGCTTTGATCAAAGGGACCCAGAGCGAAGACTTGACAGGAACACCCCCAGCAACCCCACTGCCTGCACCCCTGCCCCAGACCTCCATGGGCAAGACATACCTGATTGGCTGGGGAGGCGGCTGGATGTTCTGGATGACTCTGGCAGAGCCCTGAAAAAGACGAGAAGTGTGATGGAGGGACAGGCAGGACAGTGGAGGAGAGCCGCAGAGAGCTGGCCACAGGAGCAGCCAGGGCCATGGCCAAGCACAGATTCGCTTCTCCTTTTTCTGCCAACATTCCAGCCCTGCCACCCTAACACTCCAACAACACGGAGACCCAAAGCCAAAAGTGATAAATGCCAATTCCACTTGAGTGTGCCTACCTGTATGCGAGTCCCAAAGGGACAAAAGGAAGAAATCCGAAACGCTGAGAAATACACCCCACTGGGCTGGTGCCACCGGCACTGAGGGCCCACTCAGTAAGCAATTACTGAATGGATAAAAACGCATTAGCCTTGATTCACGGGACCATCATGATAGGAACCCCAGTGAAGAATACAGACCAGAACCAGGAAAGGAACAGGAACGAACAGTGTCAATGCCCTCTGTCTGAGCCTAACTTCTCTGTCCACTGTCCCACACTCCCCTCCTTGAAAACAGCAACATGGAGTCACTCAATCAAAATGTCTGAGTTGAGAACAGTCAGGCATGTGATGCAGAGAGAAGGCGGTGAACCCTGCGCCCCAGGACCCGATGTCTATCACACTGTCTTATCTACCCCCATTTCCAAGGTCATCGCCTTTTATTTTCTTTTTTTTAAAGAGAGACTTTTGCTATAGGGTGCATGTGCTCGCTGGAGAAACAGAGAGACAGAGAGATAGCAAAAAAATCACCCTCTGGGGGGATGGCCAGGCCACAATCCCTTCTCCATTCTCTTCTTGGGATCTTGGGCATGAACACACACACACACACACACACACTGGGTGTGAGTTTTAAGTCACCAGGTCCAAGACTCAGCCGTAGTCAACTATGTGGGAATCCAGCGACATAACCATTACGCCATCTGCTGGTCCCTCCAAGGTCATCTACTTTACAAAGTTAGGCAAATGTACCAGGTTGGTGCCCCAGACACCCCCAGACAGCAGATGGCCCAGTGGTGAAAGCACAGGGTCCGGTCCCACAGACCCAGAATTTAGATCCTAGGACTGTGCTGGGCAGCCTTGTGATAATAAAGTCACAGGTCAGTGGGGCAACCCTTAGGGCTCGCACTGAGGAGTCAAGAAAATCATGCATATAAGGCGCTTTGCAAAATACCGGGCCCTTGGTAAGTGTCCGCTGTTGTTTTTGTGGTTGCTCTTTTGTCAAGTACAATTAAAAGGGTCTCTATTTAAATGGCTGCTACAACCTAACAGTCACCTCTAGAAAATCAAAACCCTGCACCTCCTCTCCCACCAGCAGCCACCCGTCCTCCCAGCTGCCTCATGAGATGCAGGACAGGGATGCCCAAGTTTTAGGTTCCCAGGCCCTGCCCAAGCCCACTGAGCCCATCAACCCTTTCCAATCACCCATGTACTTCCCCAAAACCAGGCTTTTCCCATCTCCAAGCTGCAGCCACCTCTTGGAAGATGTAAGTTCACAATCTGCCAAGGAGAGAAACGAGGAGGAGAGAGACTGAGAGAGACGGTGACTCACCCCTAAATCCCTGGGAGGTTGATGACCAAGCAGGATTCGCACTCCAACCTGGGGCTGCACCACTGGGACCCCAAGAAGAGAAGCACCCTTCAGTCCTCCCCTGACCCTGCAGCACTTAAGAGGCAGAGCAGGTGGGTTCCAAGGCCCAGCTCCCAGCTGAGCCCCATAAGCAGGACTCTCCATGCAGCTACCCCTGAAGAAGGCTTCACCCAGAGACCCCTCTGCCAAGCTGCCAGTGAGCTCCGAACAGCACCGGCAGCACTGGGAGGAGGAAAGTACCAAGTGGGACTGTCAGGGCAGAGTTTCTCAGTCTCCCAGCTCCTCCAGCCCTAAGGACTTGGGTTTGCATGAGTCAGACTGGGAGGGAAGGGGACAAGGAGGGGTTGTTTGGTTTTCAAGCCCCAAATCAGGCTGTTCCAAAACTACCCACCCAAAGGAATGCAGAAGCCCAACACTTCATCCATCTCCATCTCATGGGTCCCTGATGAGGAGTCCCTGAAGCTCCCCAGGCCCGAGGTTCTGCTCCGGGCCCCAGGGCCACCCTGCTATAAATAGCCCACTGGGCTTCATCTGTTGCTGATCCACAGACACTTTTGGAGGAAGCCACCACAGCTACTTCGAACAACTGGAAGCCACAACTTAGCCAAGTTTTGAGGTGTGGCCAGCAACACGGGCAGGCCCAGAGAGCTGGAGGGAGGCAACAGGATATACTGAGCTACACGGGGCAAGGGAACTGGGGAGCCAAGTGGCGCCGGGAGCCTCCAAAGGTGCAGGGGTAAGGAGGAGGAGCAGGGCAGGAGACCTGGCTCCCGTTCCTCCACCGCCCTCTTCTAAACGTTACAACACTCCACATTCCTCAGCCTCCCCACCCCAAAACACCGGAGAAGATAAATAAAAACTTGGCCCAAACAGAGTCTGGCCATGCCACCTCCAGAGGTGATAAGCCAAAGTCCAAGCCCACTCTGCTTCACTGGGTTGGTCGGGGAGGAGGAGGCAGGCTGTGGGAAGCTGCCCTGGACAGCAGCCCCACTGCAGAGGATGGGGACGAGCAGCTGGACTGTCATCCCCTGATGAATCACTGGGCTGCCCTCAGACTGACAGGTCTTCCTGTTTTCTGCAGAGTTGAGCGGCATGTGACCCTTGCTGGCAGAAAGCAGATGTGCACGGGTGACACATCCGAGTGTCACTGCACACAGGGAGAACTTGGAGCACAGCAGACAGGCAAGGCTGGGGCAGCGTGTGCACAAGCACACCCCAGCACTCCAGAACACACAGGGGACCTCACGCGCAGGGCTGGAGAAGGCGCCCTCTGAAGCATGCCTAGCCACGTAGACGTTTTACAAGAGGGTGGCTATAAGCCAAGACAGCCAGTCACCTCTGTAAGCCAAGGAAGCCGGTCATCACTGATCACCTCACCCACGCCCTCCATCGGTGAACAGTCAGTGCCACCGCAGGTGTGCCTGGCTATGTTCTAGGCACAGGAGACAGAAGCGGTCAGGCCCCTGACCTCAGAGAGCATATATACCATACTAGGGACCGAGAGGGTCCTCAGCGGACTCTGAGCAGCGGCCTGCTCTCATTCCCCATCTGTAAAACGGGTATAGAACTGTGCTCACATGGGTTTCTACCTACTCCAATGAGAGCCCCGGGGAAAAAGCATTAGAGGGCTTTACAAACTATTTACAAAGAAAAATAAGCTCTCTGTCTGCTCAGAATTCCATTCCTTGCCTCTCTGGGGATCTCAAAACCCTTTATTCACATGGCTTCAAACTTCCTCCTAGCTCCTCCCAAGATGCAGATCAATAACAGAACTGTTGACTCAATTCCCTAGATACTCAACAGAAAGCACCTCTAGCCTCATCTCCAAAAGTCTCTCCTTTGCTAGAAGGACACGATGCAAGGAGATTCGCTGCCTCTCAAACATAGCACCTTACTTTTCTCACAGTCAGGCAGTTCCTCCTGGTATCCAACCCTCAGCCTTCCTGCTGCAGGTTCCACCAACTCTTCTTGCCTTGGTCCTCCCTGCAGGTGGAAGCTGATCTTCACTCACACTCTCCTAGGGGCTCCAGATCTCTGACATAGACTCCGTTATTTGTCACCTTCTTTCCCATCATGCAGCACAGAGCAGGAGCCCCAGGCCTTGGGTGGGGTTGGTTTGGAGCAACGCCCTGTGGGAAGAGTCTTGCCTTCCTTTGAGGTCCATAGACCAAACACAACAGCTCTGGACCAAAAAGAAAGCTGTTTCCTGAGCCCACACGTCCCTGGGGGGCACAGCAGGGAGGAGGGTATGTAAGCGAACACCAGGCATCATGAAGGGTGGCCAGAGATCGGTGACCGACCTACGTCAGGGGCCCGTCCCCATTCCTATATCTCCTCTGGGGGCTGTGGCCAAACCAGCCCCCCTCCGGTCACACCCCTTCCTCTCTCCTTCCTGCCCACTAGCCTGGATTTTTCCAAAACAAAGTGCGACACAGCGCACCGTCCACGCACTCCTCTACGCACCAGCTCTGCTGGAGGAAAACAGCCATTCCTGACTGCTAGCCCCGGGCCATGGGCCAGAGACGGGAGAACAGCTCCACAAACAGGCGCGTTATCACAACAGCAGGCCCAGGGTTGCAACCGAGTGCTTTAAAATGGGTTCTCTTCACCTGGGGTGGACTGCAGAGACCCCGATGGCTAGGCAGGGGCCTGACTCAATGACCCTGGGGTCTCCTGACCTGGGACGGGTGTCTGGGAGCCTGAATACCGATACCTAGGTTTTCTCTCCTTCTTTGTGGCGTGCAGGCCACTCTGGGATCTGCTCACTTGCTCTCCTTTAACCAGGCTACCTAGACCAAGAGTCACCTTGCCCCTCCCACGTCCAGACAGGACACCTTCTTCCCAACTCTGACACACACACACGCTCAGCCCTGATCAACCAAACTTTCTCCTAAAACAAGACAAACAAAAGCTGTGCCAGTCAGGTGTCATGGTGGTTAAGGCAACTGGCTCCCACATGGCTGCCTATGCGATTTGAGTCCCGGACCCAGCAGCTTGTAAAACAAGCTGGGTGTGTGTGCATGACTGAAGTCCCAAGAAGAAAATGGAGAAGAGACTAAGAGATCGTAGCAGGTCATCCACCCACGGCGGTGGTGCCTTCTTTCCTTTTCGTTCCTTCTTTCTTTCTTTCTTTCCCTCTCTCTCTCTCTGTCTCCCCAGCAAAAAAAAAAAAAAAAAAAGCCTCCAGTCACAAGTGAAGAGCCAACTCACGTCTTTCTTCTCTAGGACCAAAGTCAAACATACCCTTGAAGTCTGAAGTTCTCCGTGATGTCCAGGCTCACTCTACTGCAGCCCAAGCTTACAGGCTCCATCTGGCCCAGACTGGGAAGTGTAGGGCAGCAGCTCTAAGACTTGGCTTCTAGTGTGCCCACACCATTGGGTGAAAGGCTTGGGTCACATGCCACTACCCTGTCCCCGGCCAAGGGCTAGGAGTTCTGGATAACACCAATCCAAGCAGCAGTCCCAGGAAAGGATGGAGAAGCATTCCCAGAGTCTTTGAGCCTCTCCAGGCCATGTTTCCTCACCTCCAAACTGGGAACGTTGCATTGCCACATTGTGAGTGTCAGGAGGATCTGAAAACACCCATTCTAGCTCCTAGTCATCAGTCAACCTAACAGTTATAAGAATGACTAGCATTTATTGAGCATATATTATATGCTTTGAACAACTTAAGCTACTTCTTCCTAAGTAGTAGGTGTGTACATACAAATTAGTTTCTCCCCGCACTCCTGCCCCAGAAACACCACAAACCTGGCCTAGGGCCCCTCCCCAACATCTGTACACTGTGCCTGTAGGGACCTTTGCATACCTTGAACACAGCCTTCCCCACTAGTTTGAGAGGCATGCTCACTGTTCCTCCTGGAGGGGTCCTGTGCGGCCCTTGGCGCCCCGTTGTTGTAGGGCTAGGTGTGCAGGGCTGGCCCAGGGCAGCGTGGCTGTGGCTGAGAGCTCACCACAAGAGTGGTGCTGCCTGCAGGGGCTGCCTCCTCCTTCCCCCAGCACCACCCTCCAGGGCCCTGCCCACCACGGGTCAGGCAGCTGTCAGATGATAGGGCCTCATGCCATCAACGGCTCCCCCAGTGCCAACCGCCAAACCACTCCCTGTTCCTCTGCAGATCAGGGATGGAGAGACCAGCACAGGCTCTTATGTCAGAAAAGGCAGGGGAGGCCCAGAAAAGTTGTGGTGGGGGTTGGGGTGAAGACGTGCCTAGTTACAAGTACGCTCAAAGCAGCAGCCTTGGGAAGCCTCCTGGGCCCTCCTGAGGTCTTTCCATGAAAGGAATTTGGCCCTTGCCTCCTACCCCAAAAACGCAGGCAGGAGGACCAGCTATCCCACCTCAGCTTTCTCCCCAACCAATGGTGCTTAAGTCACACAAGGGGACACTGCCATTTTCAAAGGCTCCTGTCTCCAAAGAAATAGGCCCTACCGCTCCTCCAAGGCCTGTGGCCCTTTCAAAGCATTAGGGTGCTTCTTCATCTCAGCCCTTTCACCATCGTGTGTGGTTTTGTCACTCTTTCCATGGCTGGTCATCACCAAGCCAAGCTCACATCACAGCACGTCCCTACCCCATGCTAGAGCACTGAGGTCTGGCAAAGGCATGGACAAACGAGCTCTGGATCCGGCTGAGGTAGAGGCTAGAGGCAAGACTGAAACCTGGCTTCGTGAGCTCACATGCCTGCTCACAAACCTGGGGGCATGCAGAGGGCCCCCGACCTACCTTCTAGAGCACGGGTGAGGGAGACCCACTAAACCCAACAGCTCTAGGACCCTCTCCACCTCCCACCCCTGCCCCCGACACTAAAACCCAGCCTCGCCCTTCTCCCGACCTCCCCACACTTACGTCTTCCTCCAGGCTCTTGCGTGTGTTTCCACCCCGCGAGGCTCCGCCATCAAAGAGAGGCAAGGTAAAGCGTCAGAGGGCACACAGGTCTCCCACCCACTGGCTTGTCACAGGTAGAGCGTGAAGGGGTTGGTAGAAGGGCCTGGGAAGGAACTCTGCTGTTTGTTTTGGCCCCTCAGAGCTGGCCACACCCTCCTATGGGTGGCTATGACCACTCCTGCAGGAGATACTGTTATTCCCATTTTTGCAGATAAGAAAACTGAGGCACAGACAGGATCATGCCTTGCGTAGAGTCACACAATTAAAACCTTTGTAAAGTGGAGATTTGAACCCAAGTTCTCCACCTCCAAGCCCATGATGTCATGCAGGGCACTCCAGGAGACGTCTCTCAGTGGCTCAGCTTGGTTTCCCACTGCAGAGCCCACCCACTCTCCGCCCTTCCTCCCCCACACCAGCCTTGAGAAAAGTGTCTGTCTCTCTGCTACGTCAGGAAGATCGGCTTGGAAAGATCTGCCTGACTTTCCCCCATTCCACTTATTTAACGAAGCCCTCACTTACCACTGGCTTCTGCCTCTTGGCTCCCACCCCCACCTCTCCCTCTCTTCCGCCTGTTTACTGTTTCTGAACACACAGGGATGGTCAGATGCCCAGCTCCCAACATCACCAGTATCCCCACTTCTTCTCCCAGTCCCCTAAATCTACTCCAGAAGGACAACCCCCTCCATCTTTGATCACCTTCCCCTAACCCCACCCTCTGCTTTCCAGGCCCCTCACTGCTGCCCAGGCTGTCCCCAGCACCTGCCCACCTGCTGTCACTCACCCTGTCCACTACATTCTTCAGTGCACTGTCAGTGGTGATGGGCTGTGGACAAAGGGAGAAACAGTGTGAGTCCTCGATGCACTCCCCAGCATTGGCTCTCTCCCAGGGCTGGTGGCTGCAGTGGGCACAAAGCCTCCTGAGGCAAGGATGGTGATGCCAGCCCAAGACTCGGACATAACCTGGCTGGCCCCAAGATTGGGAGGCAGAGTTTGGAAAATGGAGAATAATCTTGTTAGAACTAGAACCATCCAATTCTAGAACCTTCCCAAGGCCCCAAGGAATACTGTGCTTCTGACCCCTCAGAAGGCAATACAGACAACTATGCAGCCTGCTCCTACTTCTCATTCTAAACATTTCCACCTACACACTCTCATTTATGCACAAGAGGCAAAGGAGGTATTAGTACTGCCTTTTAGCCCCACTTTACAGGTAAGGTAAATGAGTAACCTGAAATTATCTACTCTAGTAGGGACAGCAGGATTTGAACCCGTCTTGGGGCTCTACACTCCACGCCTTTTGCATGAAATCACAGCGGCCCAGAGTGAGAAGCCTGCCAGAGTCCCATTGCTTCCATGAGCTTCCGGCCACTCACTGCTGGTCCTTGCAGATTCCAGCTCCCTGTAGGAAAGCTCTGCCCATCAGACCTGGCCCCTAGCCCCTCCCTGCTTATTCTCACACCCAGGTCCTCACTTATGAAATGGCCTCCCCTCTTTACCTACAGAGAGGGCATTCCTCCTCCATGAAGCCCTCATTGACCAGCCCAGTAAGCAGGGATCCAGTAAGCAGGATCCATGTCCCACTCTGAACTCCACTCAGCCTCTATCTGTGCCACTTATCTGCTCCTCAGTCTGTGAATAGTCTCACCGTGGAAATACGTATCCTGTTTTCCCAACTATTGTGGTGGTTGCGATTCTCAGTCCACCTTTATCAAAAATGGATTCAAAGCAACATTTTGCCACCTCGGTTGAGAACTCCCTCAACTAGGGACTGTGATTCATGCATAGGGGACCATCAACAAACACCCGTAGACTGACCCATCCCTCCTTTGGAGTGATCCTGCCTCTGCCCTGACCAACAGAAGTGCTATATACTAAAGGCATCCCAAAAAGTGGGCATCCTAGGCCCCCAAAACAAAGAGGAACTTCCGATTCCAGGTCCACATCCTGGCCGCAGTCTAGGGCTCCATTTCCAACTCTGAGGTTGGCTGTCACAGGACACAGCACAGCTGCAAAGTTCTAAAAGGCACCTTTGCAAAGATGAGCACAGATGGGGTTGGGGAACACCTGCCCCCAGCCTACCCTCGAGACCCCAGGCATGAGCTAGTCATGTCAGAAGACAGGAGAATGGACAGAATGACCTCTGACAGGTTTTGCTACCAGAGAGGAGAAGTGGGCTGAAAGGCATTAAGGAAGGGAACGAGAGAAAGCAAGCAGCAATGCTCCCTCTGGAAATGGCCTAGGCCCGTCTCTCCAACAGCCTGGAAAGGGAGGCTGAAGCCAAAACTGCTTTCCAGAGACTAAAACTTCTGGGCAGTTCAGGGTTAAAGCCGCTTTAGATGGCAGAGGGGGACAGGGCCCAGGCAGGAGCCGGAGGGTAGGAGGCACATCAACCAACACTCACCTCTACCCACCCCTCCAAGTCCACCCTCTCTCCACATCTGGAGTCTGAATGTGGCTCCCCCCAGCTCAACCCTAATTCTAACCCACCCCCTCCCATAGTCCCAACTCTGGAGCCACAGGGCAGCACAGTGAGCCCACCCAGGGTCCCTGCCCCAGGCCTAAGAGTAAGCACAGAGCTCTCAGAGCAGCCTTGCTGATCTGGACCAGGTTACCCTCTCATTCCAACAACAACCCTGCCCACCCCCCCTCTCTAGGAGACCCCATCCTGGGGCTCTCCACTAGCAGTGCCAGCCTGCCCCAGCCCCTCCTGACCCTCGGCCTATCTCTTTGCGTCCAGGTCTGTCATGCTTACATGGAGACCTTGGGTTGAGCGGGATAGCCCACTGCCTCCTCTCTGAGATGCTTGGGTCCGCAGAGGGGGTAGGAGTCCCTAGAGGGCAGATCACAGGGACCGTTGGTGTGCAGCCTTCCTGGTGGAACTGAGGTGCAAACCCAGATCTCCCTACTCCAAGGTCCCCACTGCACCATCCACCCCTCCAGGACAGGAAGAAATGGGGTATCAAGAGCCCTAAGAGATAGCACCTGCTCCAGGCCCCTTCTAGTCTCCGAAGAGCTGCTCCCCCTCCTCAGAGTAAAATTCCCTAACAGGCTCCAGCACATGAGCCAAAGGTGCTCACACTTGAGTATACACAGAATCACCGGGAAGGGGTCCTGATGGCGGTGCAGCTGTAAAACACAACATTTTGTGAGGCTGTCCTACATGGGAGGGTTCCAGGTTCAAGTCCAGAGACTGCCAACTGCCTTCAGTACTCCTGGCACACAGCCGGACATTCGGGCCTGACTGAATGGAACTGGAGTGCTGTCTCTCTCTCTCTCTCTCTCTCTCTCTCTCTCTCTCATTATAAGATAGAGTTACTACGTGACAATACTATTTTTTAAATGAAAAAAAGAACTACCCAGGGCTGCTGACAACAGGTGCCCAAGTTGCGCCTCTCAGGCCCGAAGGCAGTCAGATCTGTGGTGGGCATGTCTAACAGATGACTATGGGAACCAGTGACCTGAGCTCCTGGGCCCTGGTGGCAGACTGCCCGGGTCCCCATCCTGACTCTGCTGCTAACTGTGTAACCCTGAACAGGTCACTGCATCCCTGCTGCTCTTCAGGGGACTGCTTGGGGCGATGCTGTAGAGATCAAATAAAATAAAGCACCTAAAACGCAGCAGCCGGCCATAAGAAGTTCTCAGTACGTGGCAGCTACTATTATTATTTATCATTCCAGCCTCAGGGCGGCAACTCGCCTCTCCCCAAGGCCCAGGCCCACTCCAGCCCATCCTACCCCACGTTGACCCTCCCACCCCACCCCTCTTGTGTCTGGCAGGGTGTAGACAAGGGAGCCGGAGTCAATATTAGAAACCACAGGCCTCAGCAGAGAAACTTTCTCTTCCTGCCAGCGATCATCTGAGCACCATCCCCTTTGCCCCTGCCCTTCCCCGAGCCAGCTGGAGCCCCGCCACAGCACTGTGCTTGCCAGCGATCAGATGCCTTCAGCTTATTGGTCGAGATGCTTTCTGAGGAGCTAAAAATTTCCAAAAACCCCTGTGGACTGAAACACCCTCAAGCTGTCCTGCAGTGTTTGCAAACACAGTCCAGCATGCACGCCACCCTCCCCTCCTCTCCACACCGTCCGGTTCTCCTGGGACTGAAGTCCTGTTTCTCTGTTTTCCGAGCACTGCCAGCCCTGGGACTATTGGGAATGGACAAGACAAGGGCCTGGTAACGCGAGGGCAGGACCTCCCCCAGCTGCCTCTGCCCAGGCCCTGCTGGGAGGGAAGCTAGTGCCATCTGAAGCCCGCTGGGCCACCTGGAGATGTGGCCCCAAGAAGCAGCAGTCCCTGACCTCTGGGGGCTGGCAGAGACCCACCAGTCCCTGACTGTCACCCTACCTTCAGCCACAACCATCCCCCTACAACCCCCAACACATATACAAGCACAGCGGCACACCTTTGTACCCTTTCCCTGGCTTATTTTTTCTTAGAATTCATTGTCTTCTAACTCACTATATATGTTACTTACTGATCTCATTCAGAATCTGCCTTTCCCACCGCACACACACACACACACACACACACACACCCTTGCACAATAGCTGTTCATCTCTCCAGTTCACAGATGGGGAAATGGAGGCACAAAGAGGTGTGGCCTGCCCAGACCTTCATGGTAAAGTTCATGGCAGGGCTGAGCTGGCTGGGGCCAAGCTCACCTCACTGCCTGGTCAGTCCCACCAGGACCTAGGCCCCTGGGGCGGGGGTTAGCAGGATACCTCCCTGTCCCCTCAAGCCCAGCTAAGAACAGTAGAGCAGATGGAGCCCAGTCAGGGACAGCACTGTCCATCTGGACACCGTACCCCTCTGCCCATACCCAGGACAAAACCTGGACCCCAGGCTGTCTGAAGTGAGAGCAGCTGACTTACAACCCCAGAGGAACGGCCCTGGCTCCAGGCAGCCCAGTACATGATTCTGCTCCAGAGCAGGTGGCAGGGTTTGGACCTGGCGAAGCCCCGCTCTTCATGACCACTCTGTTCCAGGGTCTCAAACCCAGAGACTGGAAAAAGACAGGGACGAGGGTGAGGAAGGCACTTGGGGCCCTGCGAGTATCCTCGCATTCTCAGAGCACCTTCTCAAATCTCGCACCCCAGCGCCTCGCTTGTCCCCCAGTCCTGGCCGTTGGCTGGAGAGGTCTCTTCCTAAAGTCAGCGCAGAACAACGCTGCTCCCTAAGTGCTAGTGATGCCCCGAACACAGCTTGGGGCTCTTCAAAAAGTTCACAGGAAAATGTGTCATGAAAAAACTACTCACAGATTTCAATTTTTTGGGATTTTTGTTGTTGTTTGTTTGTTTGTTTTGGAGAGGTTTTTGCTATAGGGCGCGTGCGCTCGCTAGAGAGACAGAGAGAGACAGAGAGACAGAAAGCAAGAAATCGCCCCCCAGGGGGCATGGCCACACCGCAATCCCTTCTCCTCCACTCTCCTCTCAGGCTCTTGGACACACACGCACACACCCTGGGCGTGCGTTTAAGCCACCAGGTCTGGGACTCGAACTGCGGTCAACTACATGGGAGTTCAGGGACATAGCCATTACACTAACTGCTGGTCCCAAGATTTCTTTTTTTCTTTTTTTCTGCACCAAAAGAAACTCATACTTTAATTTCGTTGTTCTATGAACTTTAAGAAGTCCCTGCTCTTAGGCTGTTTTCCCTTCCTGATCATCCATCCTCCCAACCATCCTAGAGGTAAGCATTATCCCAGACAAGGAAACTGAGGGTCCGAGAGGTTAAACACTGGCCCAAGGTGACACAGCCCATGATAGGAGAGCTATGCCCCACCTCGCCCTTCCATCTCCTGCCCTCCCCTCTCCCTGCAGTGTTCCT